TAGGCCTAATTTATAAGTTTGGGACCCATTTTAAATAAAGTTTTCATTTCTAATTTTACATCACTAGGAATTTTGAGAATTTGAGATGTCTGTAATGTCATTATTATCATATAAAGAAGGTAAATTCTTGTAACATCTTTCCTATATTTTTTTTACTAAATTACATCTAAAATAAATACTGTAGAAAATTAAAACTTCCCAAGTAAATGAAAAAACTGGAATAAAAAATTAAAATACCTACCAAATTATTTTCAAACTATCTATTTATTTTAAATACTCTCCTAATCAATAAAAAACTTGAAAATTAAATATTAACTGCCCGAATATTTAAAATACCTACCAAATGTTTTTTCTACTGCCCATTTTGATTTATTTTACAGCCCATTTCTTAATAAAAAATTGCCAGAATAATTTGTCGTCTTATAGAAATAAATGACTTTTTTAGATATAACTTTTTTTTAAAATTTTTATAACATCATACTTTTATAATATAAATTTTTTTTATAGTTAAGCTCCATTTTATCCGCAGAATATTTTATAATATCGGCCCGATACTATAAAAACTATCGGTACATCCCTAATTTCACCAAAACTGGGTTCAGGATTAAACCATAACATTATACATTATATTGTTTAGGGTTAATTAATATTTTAAAAATTGGGTTAAGTTTAACATTAACCACTTGTTATTGTCATAATTATTTTTTTAATAATTTGTTTGATAAATTTATTTACAGGAATTATTTTCCGGAGAATTATCTCCTAGATTCATTGTTCAGAACGTATGCTTTTAAAGTAACAATCACTTATTATATCCTTCATGATGTTTCGATAATTTCTTCACAGATTTTTGTATCCGAATGCAACGACTGCACATTTAAATGATTTCTTATATAAAGCTCTCAGATAGCATCTAGTACAAAATAAAATGCTAAAAAAATAACTAATGAGAAAATAAACTCCCAACAGAATCGATTGACCTTAAGAGTTGATGTATTCACCCTATAATTGATCAAATTCTAAATAGTTTGACCGAACAGTTTTTTATAATAAAGTACATATAAATATGTGCAATATTATTTACATCCAACGCGCTTTGATGAAATAAATATCAAAGGTATTTCGGAAAAAGCTTTGGGTATTTTGTGATGAAAGTATACAGTTTCAAATTATGAATTTTCTTCATTTGCCTGTGACAGTCAGAAATGGAAATTCCATCACCTATATTTAGTGTTGTCAAATACCTGCAAGATAAAGGGATGTCTTTCCTTAGACTAAATTATGAGGTTTAGGTTATTTTTTGGAAAAAGCGCCTAAATCAATGTTTTCGACAACACTATTTGTGTTGATGAAGACTGAGTGTGGAGTCTATTAAAATAAGATAACTCAAGATAATAACAATAACTCCGAGTACAATGTCAGGTATAATCAATGCTTAATAATATTTGCCTAGGAAATTCTTCGAAACTATAAATACTATGCACATTAATAAACTTACTTTAATGTGAATATATTTTAGCATTATCATTTACTCAAGTAAATTCTGAAAAACGTTTAGTAAATTTTAAACTACAGGCCGATGGTAAATATCGGATAAGATAGGGCATTATTATTGATGCCCTTTGAGAGAGAATTGTTGCAAATTGAAAAAGAATAAATTCTTGCTTAATTACGCTAAAATTTGATGTTAATACAAAATTTACTAATTTTGAATTATATATGTATTAGAATTTAAGGAGACTATATAACCTAATGTTATTTTTATTTATTTTTTCTTTTTTTTTAAAATTCATTTTTAGTCATTTTTTGACATTTCATTTTATTTTTTTTGATCGACTAAATCCGGTCCGGTCCTACATCGATGTCGGTTTTAAATTAAAAAAATTTAACTCATAGCACGAGATCTTTCTATTCGGAGAGGCTTATGGTTTGCGCTCTTAACTTATTAAAATTTAGTTGAAATTTATATATAAATTAAAATTTAATTTTATATTTTATCTAATTGTATAATTTTAAATCTCATTTATTAAAAAAATTTATTTTATGTTTTTTTACAAAACCAATGTTATTTATTTAAAACCAACATAATGTTCTTAAATAAATTGAAAAAATAATATATTAAGGAAGATTATAATATTTCATTCGTTATCACGCCAGAAATTGCACATGCAATTTCATCACTCACAAAGGGGTTGAACGTGCACCACGTATTTTCATTAATATATGAATCCCATACATGATGTCTACCCGTTTTATTATAGTGGACAGTACCACTATGTAGCCTGCTAATAGTGTAGAAGGAAGGAATTTAAATATTGGTTATATATTATTTCGTTTCCTGTGAAATAGTGGTATCTGTAGAAAATATGCAATCATAATATAATGTACCTGACTATCCAATTTGTTTATTTTTCCTCATATATTTTTTATGAGTAATTTTTCTTATTCTCTAAAGGAGGAAGAAATTTTGTATGTTGAGTCGTTTGTTCTGGTTACAGTAAACGGCCCTAAGTATATTTATTATCATTCAAATGATATTTCATTATTATTATTGGCCACATTATCATTATCATCATTCTTTTCATTTATTTCTATTAGTCTGTATTATCATCTTTTTATTATCATCCATGTTATTTATTCATTCTCATTAGTTTCATCGTCATCATTATTTTAATTAGACATTGATCGTAAAGTTTTAGAATAAAATCACTTTATTCTGAGATCCCAGAGATTCAAATTATAATTTATTTTATAAAAGAAGAGAGAACATTAGATATTTTTAAAACCTTCCCCTGATTTATATGAAAAATTATGCCTCAGTCTGGCCTGGATCTTTAAAATAACTAACCCTGAAAACTAATTAAAACTTTTTTACAAAGTTAAACAGCAATAATTGCTTTGCCCTAATTCCAGAGATATTTCAATCATTGTTTTCTTTAAGAGAAGAAAAAGACGAAATAAATTTTTTATCTTTTTTTAAAGGTTTTAGGCCTGTACATGCACAAATTCAATAAATATACTTGATTTACTACATTTAAAATTATTTTTAACATTTAAAACTTTTTTAAAAATTTAAAAAATATTTTTATTATTAATAAATAAAAAATAGTCACACTAATTGATCCAGATTATTTTAATATTTACAAAAATGAAACACTGGAATAGAAATAATTTCCTGAAAACTTAATTGAATGGAAAATAAAATATTCTCATACCTCTTATTTGGAGCAAATATTTAATTGATTTTATGAAGTATATAAAATAAATATATACTTCAATCAATATTAGGCCAATTTTTAAAAATATTTTTTGAGTTAACATTTAAAACTTTTAAAAAATAAATGAATTAATATATTTATTTTTATTATTGATAAATTAACAATGAAAAATAGTAACATTAATTTATCCAAGTTATAAATCAAATTTAAAATAATTCTCTGAGATGCTCATTCCTAAATATGGATAAAGTTTAATTAAAGAATATAATATGTATACTAAAAAATGTGTTTTTAATAATTAATGCAAATTATATTAGTAGAAATAATATCATTTATGTTTAAAAAATCTTGTATGATGAAGCTTAATTATTTATAATAATAATTAAGTTATGTATTGGTAATTAATTTGTTTATTATCCTTATAATAGAAAATATTTACTTGTATTTAGAAGAAGAGAATAAATAAAATTTATCTGATTTTGATGAGCTATTTTGAGGCCTCCAAAATATTCTATTTTGTGAACAGTGATGGGTAATAGAGGAAAACCTCCGTTAAAAAAAACATGCTACTTGTTTTGAAGATTTAATTTTCATGCAATGCGTATGCCTTCAAGAAAAACCCATTATAATATTTAAAATTGCTTATAATTCATATTTAAAAAAAAAGTATATAAAATTTAAAAAACAAATACTATTAAAAACAATCATCTTACATGGGATGAAGCTGATGTATAGCCTTATGAATAGCAAGGAGTAGTATGTTTCTAGAAAAAGCCTACACGAGGTTTATCAATAAGTTTACGAATGTGAGAACCTAGTTCCTTAAAAAAGTATAAAGCGCGATTCCCAAAGGTTGTTAAGGTAGTCGAAACTATCGTCGAATGAATATGTAATCTTGAGAAATTTCTGGGAGTTCGCAGTTTGATTAGTGGGAGCCATTGGTTCAAATAAAATCAGATCACGACATAAAGGTTCTAGAATCAACGGAATTTGAACTGACCTCAAAGCTCTTAGAATGATCGAATTATAAAATTTTTTCTTCTCACCTTGTAGGTATAATTTGCTGAAGATATCTGCTATATATTTTTATTTATGCTTAATACATATAAGAACAATTTTCTGAGTCATAACATAATCTTAAAAATATTCCAAAAGGAATTATCAAATATAATATAAAAAAATGATAAATAAGAATAATTTAATTGGTTATGTTATGTTATTTTCGAAAAACCGGAATGAACTAATATAAATTTGTTATATTTTCAAAGCTAAAAACCCACTCGGAACTGTACCGTTATATTTAAATAATTAATATACTCAATTTTTATTAGGTTTTATAATTAAATCAAGAAATTTAACTGATTTTCTTTATTTTTTACTTGCTTCTTATTTAAAAAATATTTTATTAGATTATTAGTGGTAATTAAAAATATATACTAACAGATAACCCTTCACGAATGACGGGTGAATTAGAATTTTCTTTTTTATTTGATGACGGGTGAATCAGAATTTCTTCTTAATTTTATGTACCTTTAAGAGGTGATTCAGAAAATTTCTGTTATTTAGATATAAAATGTTAGCAAAATAATATATTAATTTTTTCCTACATTTTCTTAACATTTATATTTGAAATTTATTATCAAAATTTTTTAAACTCGTTAGGTGAGGATTTGCATATATTATACTCAATTTTTTATTGACATACAGTTCTCACCTAGCAGAATTGAATTCAAAATATATTCTTTTATCTACCTAAATATTATTTTTTAAATTTGTATTTAGCTGATATACCAAACTCACCTTTTCCAGGAAGCCTCAAAATTATATTCTCATTCTTTCAAGTATATAATATAATGTACAATATATTAGTTTGGAAACCAACCCTTATACCCTATCTGAAAAGATCAAATACATTTTAAAATATTATTTTTCGTATCCCCATATTAGCCTTTTTTTAAATTAGGCCGCGTTTTGGGATAATATTTATGAGACTTGTTTAAAAAATTTGGGCTGGTTTTGTATACCACATACTATCTAATATCTATTCATAAAATATCAATTATTTTTAAATTCAGAGCTCTTTTACCGATTTTAGCTGAATTTTCCGAATATTTTGCCAAAGCAAATGACATCGAAATTAAGGTTTAAAGGACCTATAATATTGAAAAAGATTATTTATTATTTTATTACCTAGTAAAAGTATTCTGGTAAATGTAATAATGATTAACTACCCTAAGTATACTGATTAATAGTGAATGTTAATGTACGTTCGTGAATGTAGTCCTTATTTTAATAACAAAACCGCAGAGTTAAATTGATAATCTGTAGAGCATTTATAATAGCTTTACGCGAATTAGCCCGAATTATAATTTTCTGAAATGTCATAAAGAAATATATCCAATTTTAGGAATGCCTCATGGACACACTCGAATATTTTACTAAAGTCAAATTACTACAAGAAGTAAATAAATATTTTATTATTTATTTAGTTCTTTCCTTTTCCCTCTATAAATCAAAAATAATTAAGAATTTGGCAGATAGCGTTAACAGATGTATGTTCAAATATGGGACCTATTTTATTAACAGGTAAAACATGATCTTTATAAATATAGTCCTTTTTTAATTCATTTTTTTAAAAGTCATTAATTTTCTCATTAGCGAGATCAAGCCCCTCCACGAAAATAAGAAATGTTTTGACAAATTGAGCGACGATCTGGATGTTGCCTTGATCAAAAATTCTCAAATATCTCGATCTAAAGTTATCTTATTAAAATTTTATAATTATTTGGTGGTGTATTATTATTTTTTTAAGAAGTAGCTTTTGTTTTTGGTTAAGTGACGTCGTAACACAACTGAACAAATGTTTTTATAATTAATTATGGAAATCTTGATTACCACTAATAATAAATAATATCCAGTCTCCATTATGATAACTAAATAAAAATGAATGAATAACACGTTTCTTTTAAAAAAATTTAATTTAACCAACGAAACACGGATACTTACAAATTAAATTTCTTAAATTGTAATTAATTAAACAATGTGTTTCAGGGACTTAATTTTTTCTTACCTTTAAAAGGAACAAAAGGAAGTGAGATATCTAAACCAAATATATTTATTAGCTACAAGTCAGTTTGTAGGATCAAAGATTAAAATTGTTAAAAAGTGGGACTACACAAGGCAAACGCTATCACATGCAGAGCTGCATATGTTATTTTTACGAAAACAATAAAAACAAAGATTATTAAGTGATATATAAATGATGCTTGAAATATTAAAAAATTACACAAAAATAATAATAATTGGGAATTTTTTTAAAAATTTTTATATAAAACTCCTTTTTTTACAAGTAATAAACCATTTATAAATAAATCTTTACCAATTAATATATTTTTTTAAATTAAAATGTTCAACATTGATAATATTTTATCTAATAATGCCAATAAAAGTATAAGGAACTCACTATTATTTAATACTCAAAATATTCAAATGAAATCATATCAGTTTGATAATTCATTTTTATCCAATTTTTTGATATATTTTCGCAATCTCCTATAAGAGGTAATGATTCCAATGAAGATAAAAAACATAGCTAACAATACTGATATGTCTATCTTTTTAGTAAATAAATTAGGACAGGAAACCTTTCCTGAACTTATAAGGGGTCAATTAGCAGCTTGTATCCAAATTTTCTTAAAGGGAGTAGGCACTAGAGGTCTGCATTGGGCGGGTTTTTGGACTATAAGCCCGCACCCAATGTTTTTAAAAAATTAACCAGCCCGCCCAGCTTGCCCATAGTTTTTAAAAAAATATGCCCGCCCGCCCACCCATTAGTTTAAATTTCCTTACCCGCCCGCTCGCTCATTAGTCTAAAATTTTTTACCCGCCCACCCAATGTTTATAAATTTTTTTAACCCAATCCTGCTATTATAAAATTTAATTATGGCCATTCTTTGTTCTAAAAACCTTCCAGCAATGCAAATCCTCGTTCAGAAGAAGGCAGGAATTGTATTTTTCTGCTAATCTTGATAGCTTTGGAAAATCTCTTGCCGTTTCCACCAAAGTAGTTATAAATATACCAAAAAAGTTTATTTATTTTAAGAAAAAAGATTTTATGATACCAAAATTTTTAATATCCAAAAAAGTTCATAGGAACAATTTTTTATTAAATGATTTAAATGTTTTTAACCCGCCCGCCCATTATTTAAATTTCTTAACCCACCCGCCCATAGTTTAAAATTTATTTCCAACCCGCCAGCCCCTTCTTAAAATTTTTTTTGCCCGCTCACTTAGATGGGCGGGAGGCCGAAATCTTGCCAATGCAGACCTCTAGTAGGCACCTAAGTGGGATAGGCTAAATTTAGCGGTTACTAGTTAAATTTTTAGATGAAATAGGGTAAAATATATTCCTGTAAAAATTTATTAATACTTTTATTATAGATATATTTAATTGTACATACATATATTGCTAAAAATTAACCATATCTATATATTGCATTACAATACAACTCATTGAGTAATCTAAGAAACTATTATTTTCTGTTTTATTTTTTAATGAATTTAAAAGGAGACCTATCAACTAACTTAATTTTTCAAGTCCGGAACAAATTTTTTTTAATTTGTCCCTAAAAGCCTGACCCGAAATAAAAATAAATTTTAGTTGTCCCGACCGAAATTTATTTAAATATAGAAAAATTTAATTTTATTCTTGCAAGAATTATAAAATATATCAATTTATTTGACAAAATGTAATATAAGAATTTAAGCCGACCCTGTCCGGCCGAAATTTTTTTAAATAGAACCCAAAGCCGTGATTTGCAGATACTGTTAATCTTTATTTCTTATAATTTAATGAATTTCATAAATTAATTATAAAATAAAAAATAATATTTATGAATTATATCTGCTTTTTTCAATAAATGTATACTACAATATTATGTGTGGTATCGGCTGATACTGTGTTATCATCGGTGGTAACGGCTAGAAAAGTCGGATCATGCATTTTTACTAAAATATGTCAATTGCATATTTAAATTATATTATGTTGGGCGCATAGCAACGATTCTCCATTTTAATTATGTTAGTTAGGTAATCATTTTGGTCACTTAAAATATTTTTTATAAATTATCACCCATCTTTCCTCAAGTGTTTCTGCTGAGATGGATTATGATTCAGGTTTAGGAGAGAAGTATGATCACTTACCTAATTCAAATTTGGAATACTTGCTTGCTACTTTAAATTTCAAATTTTAATATATAAGTTTTAATATATTTTTTAAACGTTTTTAATATTTGAAATTGTAAATAAAATAAAATTGACATTTTAAAAAATAGATTATAAATATTTTTTGCTGTTATATTATTATTATTTAATAATTATTCATTTTTTTAATTAATAATTTTATTTGAATAAAATTTTGATGAAAATATGATTTTATGTTCCGCAATAATGGGAGCGTGAACTGGCTTCTTGGGGTTTTAAAAAATTTACATTTTTTGAAATTATAATTTTTAATTTTAAGACTATGGAATCGGAAGAAAGTTGCAAAATCTTGAAAGCTCATAGATCCTATTTCGGCCACACGGTTTTAGATTACTCCTTTCACGTATGTTTTTCCTTAATTAATTTTCTTATATTTATTGAATGCCGGACAAGCTATTTCTTTCTATCTAAGGAATTTGTGTTCAAGATATTTGGGTCTTAATACCATGTCGATTGCCTTAAAAATTCTAAAAATACCAATTAATATAAAATATAGATCAACAAATTTGCTCAATCAAAAAGACTTGCAATCATAAATTTGGTAATTTATTTAATATCTATACATTTATTTATAAATAAATATCAATATGTTTTAGTCCTATTCATTTATCCACTTAGTTGTAGATTTACTTATTTCAATTTTAGGTGCTATCTTTAATTAAAGGCCACGAAACCTTTTTCGAGAGCGGTCATCAACTTTTACGGAAAAATAGCTCCAATACAACTCCAATCGATTTGCAGCACTTAGAAGAATTGGTAATTAATTTATTTTTTAAAATTAAATATCAAATACTTATTTAAGGCACCCGGTTTCTTAACAAAAAAATGCCAATAGCATCTAAGTTCCTAAGTTTTCTTTATTGGGTAAATATAAAATGGTTACCTATGCCTTTGAAGCGATAAATTTCGAAAACATAATTTTTTTACTAATTTAAAATGACTACCAGTGTGTTTGAACATCAATTTATAAAAAAAAATTTATAAAATGACTTCCAATGTATTTGCGCGATTAGCGTACATTAGATATAGGAAAAGGCATGATGTGGCCATTTGGCAATGAGGGTCTTGGTAATTTCATGCTTTCATAGTATCATTTCAAAGTATTTGCGCGATTAGCGATAGGCTAAGGCATTATGTAGCTATTTGACAATGAAAATGACATTATAACCATTAATTTTAAAAAAAATTGTAAGCTAATAATTTAAAATAATGACTATAATTAGAATTTTTTAGAAAAAATGTATTTAAGAAAAGTGTAAAACCAAGATTATTTAAAAAAAATGTAAACCTGCGAGAAACCTTAAAAAAAAGAGCGTAAAGCCGTCCAATAAGAGTTATGGGAGAAACCGCTCAAAAGTCCCTTTCCCTTCCTTAAGAAAATTATTGATGCGCTGATGTTAGATACAAATAAAGGCCTTAAGTGAACTATGGATAAAACATAAATCATACAATTTCATTGTTTACTTCTTTCGCAAGGGCTATTCCTTTTTGGTTTATTATGTAAAATAATTTTAAGATATAATTTTTTTGGGTTTTCAATATTTTAAATAAGAAATCTTAATTCAAAACAGTTTATTATATATAACAAGATGGATTAGCCTTGTAATTTATTCCATATTAACTTATATAATTTAAAACATCGCACCTCAAACTGAAATATATTTAAAATAAATGATTGCTTATGCGCTGGTATGACCAATAAAAAATACACTAGAACTTAGATCTATTAAAATAGATTTTAGAAGAACATGTGAACGGAACGGGAACATGGTTTAAAAAAATTATTTGGAATATATTCCTGCTTACGGAGCTTTTCAAATATAAAAATCTGAAGAACAGGAACTGAACATTTTTAATTTAACCCTTTCATTCACGCTAGGCCTTCATAAACTACATGTAAAATATATTTATTTCATTTTTACATGTTTAAAACATTGATTTTTTTTATAAAATAAATAGATGATGTTTATTTAATATTTTTTTTAAAAAAATCTCGTTAAAAACGGATATTTTAAAAATTCATATTTCTAAAAATATTTAATTTGTTATTGTTACATTTTGTACATATATTATTTCAACGTTGTTGATATATATATATATAACTCGTTATTTTTATATATAATGCATCCTATTTTTAAAATTATTGGGTTCCAATGAATCCCACTATACAGAATGCCGTTAACTTATGAAAGCAGATTATATTGATGAATCCTTTGCCTCAGAAGACAATATGCCTCTTGTAACTTTATTATATATTCCCACATATTGGAAATATGATTAGTGAAGGTCACGGTCCGGTCTTTGGTCCGGACCGATACCCTCGGACCGGACCACCGCCCTTAAGAAAAAGATCAGACCGTGGTCCTAAATAAAAAGGTCCTGGACCGATCTTTTTATTTGTTTAACAAACATATTTTTTTAAATCTAATTTAATTTGTTTTATCATTTTATTAAATATAAGAGTATTATATAAACAATATAAAATTAATTATGAATAATATAATAATTAATACAAATATTTAATTTAAATAAATCTAATGTCTTTGTTTGTAGAACTGCCATGGAAGGAATTAGAAGAGATTTAATGGAGGCGGTAGATCTATTCCATTCTTTAACCAAGAGTCCAAACACATCAAAGCTTGTATTGTTTTGTTTGAAAACCTGTTCCTTTTTTTAGTGACAAGATCTCCTGCTTTCGAAAATATTTGTTCACAAGGGACAGATGTTGCTTGAATTGCTAAAAAATTTCTAGCTGCTAATGAGATGACTGGAAATCTACATAATAAACTATATTGACTATTTACAAAATATAAAAGAACTTTTACTATTGGCTTTCCACCATACTAATATGTCATCCTTTAATGAAACAAGAGGTTCATTCAAATAGGTGTGAAGTTCTGATATATTTTCTTCAATGATTTCTGCCGATATACAATCCCTTTCTGAATTTCTTTTTGGGGATAAAATTCTTTTTAAAAACTAAATTCATTGATTTCCTCCTGGCACAAATGTTTGAAAATTAGGATTTAATAAATAAATATTAAAAATATACCTGAGAATCCGTTATTCCTGTATTTTTTTTATTTTCCTTAAATATTTTGAAAATTTGGTCATATACTCAATCTATTAAGAGTATTAGGCATGTAAACTTGTTTTAATCTCGGATCATGTTGAGACATATGATTCATAGAAAATTAATTCTTTGAGATATTTCTGGATTTTAACCAGCATGTTATTAAGAATTTCTTTTCTTGTATTGTTATTATCTTTTTTTAAATTATTTAAAATTTCATTATTTATATTCTCCATATATAACATGGAAATCCCAATTGTAGGATATTTGAATCCTGATATCAAGTGTGGTTTTATAGAAGGGCCTAAGAAAATCTACAGCCTCTTTAAGGTCTTCTTTTTCACACTCAGTAAAGAAAACCCCTTTAAATTGTTTGTAATTCAAAAAAAAGTACTTCTTCTATAGCACCCATGTTCTAAAAATTAAATATTTTTTAAAAATAATTGGATAAAAATGTAAATACCTCATAAATTATATTCATCATTAAATAGGAGCTATTCTATCTAATAGAGATATCAGAAGGGATTTTAAATTTTGTAATACCATTATTTTCACATATTTGTACATATGCTTGATTTATTTTGGGCGATTTATTTATAGAAAAGGCTATGCCTCTTAACTTTTCTAGAATAGTTGTAATGAATGATAAACCTTCCTGAGATATTAGGTTTAGAATATGGGCACAGCATCTGAAGCCTTTAAATTTTCGTTCCATTTAAATATTCTGCAAAATATGCTTTTTAGGATGTTATTGGCATTATCTGTAGTACAGGTCAGTATATTCTCCTCCAATTGATATACATCAATTACTTCTTTTATAGCTAAGGATATTTCTTCAGAAGTATGAGGAAATGGGATATGATTTATATCAAGTAAAATATTTTTAATGTAAAAGAAGAATCAATATCTCCACATATCTGCTGTAAAGCTTATTAAAGAATTATTTTTATTTAAAATATCTTTTAAAGAATTTCTTATTTTCTCAAAATTAGCTGTTTAAAAATTTTTAACTTTGCTTTTAGACCAAATTGTAGCATATTTGATTAAATTATATGTGAAAATAATGGTATTACAAAATTTAAAATCCCTTCTTATATCTCTATTAGATAGAATAGCTCCTATTTAATGATGAATATAATTTATGAGGTATTTACATTTTTATCCAATTATTTTTAAAAAATATTTAATTTTTAGAACATGGGTGCTATAGAAGAAGTACTTTTTTTTGAATTACAAACAATTTAAAGGGGTTTTCTTTACTGAGTGTGAAAAAGAAGACCTTAAAGTGGCTGTAGATTTTCTTAGGCCCTTCTATAAAACCACACTTGATTTATCAGGATCCAAATATCCTACAATTGGGATTTCCATGTTATATATGGAGAATATAAATAATGAAATTTTAAATAATTTAAAAAAAGATAATAACAATACAAGAAAAGAAATTCTTAATAACATGCTGGTTAAAATCCAGAAATATCTCAAAGAATTATTTTCCTATGAATCATATGTCTCAACATGATCCGAGATTAAAACAAGTTTACATGCCTAATACTCTTAATAGATTGAGTATATGACCAAATTTTCAAAATATTTAAGGAAAATAAAAATTATACAGGAATAACGGATTCTCAGGTATATTTTTAATATTTATTTATTAAATCCTAATTTTCAAACATTTGTGCCAGGAGGAAATCAATGAATTTAGTTTTTTAAAAAGAATTTTATCCCCAAAAAGAAATTCAGAAAGGGATTGTATATCGGCAGAAATCATTGAAGAAAATATATCAGAACTTCACACCTATTTGAATGAACCTCTTGTTTCATTAAAGGATGACATATTAGTATGGTGGAAAGCCAATAGTAAAAGTTCTTTTATATTTTGTAAATAGTCAATATAGTTTATTATGTAGATTTCCAGTCATCTCATTAGCAGCTAGAAATTTTTTAGCAATTCAAGCAACATCTGTCCCTTGTGAACAAATATTTTCGAAAGCAGGAGATCTTGTCACTAAAAAAAGGAACAGGTTTTCAAACAAAACAATACAAGCTTTGATGTGTATGGACTCTTGGTTAAAGAATGGAATAGATCTACCGCCTCCATTAAATCCCTCTTCTAATTCCTTCCATGGCAGTTCTACAAACAAAGACATTAGATTTATTTAAATTAAATATTTACATTAATTATTATATTATTCATAATTAATTTTATATTGTTTATATAATACTCTTATATTTAATAAAATGATAAAACAAATTAAATTAGGTTAAAAAAAATGTTACGGTTTGATCTTTTTCTTAAGGGTCGTGGTCCGGTCCGGTCCTAGGATATCAGTCCAGTCCGGACCAAAGACCGGACCGTGACCTTCACTAGTTCAAAGTATGAAACGTTAAAATAAATATTTTTTTCTTTAGTACTTATATTTATTATTATTTTATAGATTTAAATTTGCCAATATTTTTGAAATTGAAATAATTTTTTTAGCGATAAACTTGCTAATAACATACCAGCCTACTGGGATTATTGGAGCATAACAGTGGCGTCGTTAGGGAGGGGGCGCGCAGGGGCTCGAGCACCCTGAAAAATTTGAGTAGCCCTCTAAAGCAAAAAAATTTATTTAAAATGAAATCTTAACCCGTTGAACTTAAAATAAATTTTTTTGATTTGCCCCCTGAACGATTTCTT